TCATTTAATAATTAATATTTAATTCCAGTAAATTTGAATGTGCTTTAATTCTTCCGTTGTCTCTATCGAGTGAAATTTATATACAACTTGAACATGTCACTTCAGTTGATGAACAGGATAGAAGATAGAAATAACCTAGTTCATCAAACTCCAGTCGGATTAACAGAAGTTTTAGCTTAGTGCAGAAATACATCAGCACTTTATGGATAACAGAAAATTCACGTGTCCAATGGAGAAATTAAGAACAATATATACATAATACAAATAATATTGATGAGATTTATAGGCTGAGAATGAGGCTTGCAAAGTCCATCCAAATTCACGAACATCTATCCACATTTAAATGTTAATACAACATCAATAACCTCATAAAACTGGAGTGACCTACTTTTATCAAGAGAACGCGATTGGTGTAATGGAAACAATTACTATTTTAACCAATTGTACCAGGGACTGTTTTACTGTACTTGTTTGTTTAACTGTACTAAGAACATACATCCTTCGTTCATTGTGACCTTGCATGAACTTGCGTTTGCTAAGTAGTTCCACTTGTACTCTTTGGCACGTCTCGGTATTCTTTCGATACCACGAGATCGCCAATAAATACATCTCGACTACAGCCATCAACTGCCTTCTGATATTTGGCCTAAGGGGATCTTATCATGTAACTGGCACGTAGTCTTCCTGTAGTGGTGATCATAGTCAACCGCGACTCGACGCCAGACTACAAAACAAAGTGATATTTAGTCAGCTACTCGCCATTTATGAGGTATGCTATTCAATAATAAGCATACTATAACTGTCACTTCTCAACTTTTTACTACAAATTAGTGGATCCTCACATAATAATTATTAATAAATCATTTAACGTCTCATGACAGACAAATAAGTGATAATCGAAATTGTAATAAATAGACCATAATAAATACAGTGATTGATTATGCGAAAATTCTTCTCCAATACTTGATTTAATACTAAATTGTTAATTCATGATAAATTTGTCAAATATTTTTGAGTTCGACAGAAAATACTCATACTTTTATTCGCTAGATATCAGCAATGTAAATGAGATGATAACTACGAAATAAACTCACACTGCCATGCATGTCCGTTATGGAAATAAATGTAAATGTCTTAGATCCTCAGATGAACACACACAGGCTTAAGCACTTCATTCTGTAATCATAAAACATAACAATAATCGGTAAATTATCTGACAAAATTATAACCTTAGTGATTTATTTGGCATAAAAAACAGTTCTGACGAGAGTTGATTTCGTCATTTGAAATTTGACAGCTGAACTATGAATATTCATTTGATTTCAAAATATACTTGTTTATGTTGTTTGAAGTTTCAGGTTTTTTACACATCTATACTGAGAATTATGAATAACGTTTTATTTGAAAAAAAACCGTAATAAAAGTGAAATTAATGACTTAAGAGCTAAGATAAAATTTGTATTCATCTATATTAAGCTCATATTATTCATTATACTAAGACGAAATTCAGAATAATTTAAGTTAAATCTTACTAACTGAACTTGTTTCGGAAAGTTATAAAAAACAACAGACTCAAGAGTGCAATTTTCTGGTTAAGTTAGCCTTTACAACTTGTTTATTGTATATTTTATGTTCTAGACAACGTATTATGCAGCATCTCTAATTTTATTTAAATGCATGAAATCTAAAGTAACTGTGACTTCTTTCAGAAAGTATAAAACGGAAAGATATGAATGAAGGGGACAATTTTTACACTTATTTTCAAGACTTCATACGTCTATCCACAACTATTGTATCCGAAGATTAAATAATTGGTAACCTCAGGGAAATATTTATAGACTGTTACAATAAGAATTTATTGTATAACATTTGAGTAACTAGATTATGTATACATAGGTTTCTTTATCATAAGCTTTCATTTGACCTATTAGCTACTGTTATACGATTTGCCGCTTAATTTGTTGCCAATCTATTAGTTAGTCTCCCACACTCACAGCCTCTTGTGGTTTGATCTTGTATAATTGTTATTTTTCATTTTATTGTTTGATGCATTCTGGTCTTATGTATATAAACCACGGATGTCTGAAAGATATTATTCATAAAGCGGAGGCTGATATGTGTTCTGGACACGACAGGCGAGGCTAGGCGTGAAGCTACTATATTAAGGACATATAAGGATTCAGAGTTATGCAAGGCTGATCGTGCTGGTTAACGTGTCATTGGTTTGGCACAGGAATAAAGTAATTTAGGTCTGTATTCTGATAGACAATTTTGTCAGAAGATATTTATTTATTAACAACTGACCCAATGCTCAATTTATTTGAAATTATCAACTCAAAACTTAGTAATGGCACCTACAAGCGAAATACTTGTTCACACATATAATATACAGTTCTCTTCCAAAAAATTAAGAATATAACCAGTTAGTTGATCAGCTTTTAGAGTTAAACTTGTTTAGTAACATTGGCCTTGAAACAAAGGCAAAAGTGTATTCTGAAAACGTGGATCAAACATACCTACCATCACTTTTAAAACTGATTACTACATTATCACGTAGGGCAAAAGCAACATCCAAGGTAGTTGTTGTACACTCGTACGCAAAATAATATAAATCAGCACACTTCTTTAATCCAGGCTGAAGTGAAAGTAGCTAAGGTTTCTTCATCATTTCGAGAAAAGATGAATTTACTGTTATAGTTCACTAAACATGTTATTGGATGATGCACAACATTGGCAGACTTCTTAGAACGAAGGTTTGCAATGTCATCAAGTCCAATACATTGCAATGAGTTAAGAAGCATCTTAAAACGTCAGTTTAAATAAGCCTTAAGACAAGACTTTCCTCCAAACTTGAGAAAATAGGAAACCCAACATCAGATCATTGATATATAAAACATCTATTTAAGATACAAGCATCCAGATGAGTGTCATCACTAATATGTTTCATATCTATTAGCCATTTTATTAGTGATGTGTGAGAATGATCATGATTGGTGTTGTCTGCTTAGTCAGACATGTAGATAGTCTGAAAGGTGTCAGATAAGTTATATATTTCTTTATCCTTATTATTGTGACTCACTTATTATTGATTGTTGGATTGTGTCGGTTTTTGGTGTGGAAATATATTTACGTTGTGGTCAGGCTAACTACGTGTTCTTGATCTGAGTTGTGCTGAAGTCCTGTAGAATGAACACTGTGAGGGACCTAGTGTAGATAATCGTTTAAAGTAACTTAACGTTCCATACGTGCAAACGTGGAAACCCAACAGTTATAACATTAGATGAAGTAAAACAAGCGTTATAACAATTAGCTAACAAACATTAGAGGAATTATTTTAAGTCATCAACCGTATAACTTGAAATCATCACACAACCGAGAGGAGAAGCGGTGAATTCTGTCAACTTAACAACGAGAAGTGATAGTGTAGATGAAGTGCAGTACTGATTCGTGTAAACCTTGGTAACAAACGCAGTTGTATTTATTCAGGTATTCTGAATGGTATATTGACGTTAAATAGACGATAAAATTGTTTTACAAAACTAAAACCAACATAGTTCAATCGACACTGGATCATACTTGCAAAGGTAGCTATGTAACCACTACATCTTTTCCGATTGCTTGAACGATAAATTTTGAACCTATCCAGTATTACCAAGCTACCATCATTTAAATTATTGAACTAGGATTCTTGAATTATAATGACACCACAATTACGATACATGTATACTGACAGAAAAATTCAGGAATTTTTATTATATCTTTGTCAGATTTTTGACGCCATGTATGTATTTATAATTGATTTTTTGTTTACACGCATTAGTTGCATACTTTATATGTTACGTTCACTAAGTGATTTGCGTAACTCGTTAACTACTTACTTAGTTAAGCCTGTTACCTTTCGTGGGGCATAGGGAACTCTAACCAACTTTGTCTTAGGCTCTTCTCCCGAATGACAGGTGCCAGTCATAGTATTGACGCCTACCTTCAATTCTCAGTGCCATGTGTTATTTGATCCGCCTCTCTTCCTTGTGACTTGCAGATTCCAAGTCAAGTACCACCAGGTTGTACTTTCGCATTTGCGCAGATCTTTAAATGACTCTTCAGGCTTCTCTATGTACCTACATTAAATGTTGTTTTGATTGTCGTAAGGGACACTAGTTTAGCGACCTTCGAGGACTCGGTTTTTACTATGGGGCGTCATGATTCTTCCGTATGAAAACCCTACAACTCGCAGGGCTGAGCTAAAATGGAGCAATTGGTTTTTGCTTTGGTTCTTTTCTACAATATGGGTTTGCTGATCCTATGTCCGACCACCCTCATTACCCAGGCTTAAGACTGTCACGTAACGGACCTATTACTTGACACAGTGTGATAGATATATCCTACTTCCGCATCTCCTTCTCAAAGGCTGTCACTTATCAAGTAGCTAGAGTAGTCCTATCTTTGGTCTCAAATAATTTGGAGGTTTATGTCAACAAGCCAGTCTCGTGGTCAGCCATCACTGAGCAACACTGTATCATATCATACTGTCTATTGATTGGAATTCTATCTGATCGATCTTAAAACCGAAAATATATCCATTAAGTCATCAAATTCTCCTCTATGACGGAACCGAACAGAAGATTTACAAAACCTTAAAATGGAAAAAAGTGGTCATGTTTTGTACTAAATAAATAAAACTCATGTACATTTGATGTATTTATTATTATTACTCTTATTACAAGATTAGTTTGTTATAAACCAACAAAAGTTATTTGAACGAAAGAGGTAAGTTTTAGTTGATAATATCAATGAACAGAACATATCACGAATGATACCAACGATATATATATATATATATATATATATATATTATATATATGCATCAGCAATATTTAATGACTACAATAAAAATAGGAGGAAATACGTTAAGAAAATAAACCCCAACATGTTCGAAATTCACTCCGTGGGTTTAGGACACTACAATAATTTTCAATATATGCAATTTATCACCTACCAAAATCAAACACTCCTCTACTTTGAAGTGACCTGAGAAGAATCATCGACGGATGATTTTAAACGGTTTTTATCAGCTTTCAACTCTTCTGTAGGGATCGCTTTTGCCAAATGTTCATTATCAATCATTTCAAGAACGCGTGCAATTTCTTTGCCGGATAGTTTCACATTCTCTGAACCGAGAAGCTCGATAACCTAAGAAAAAATAGGATATAAAAATATTTTAAAAGTCCACGAATTTAAAGTGTGGAAATAACACAGTGAAATTAAAGCAATACAACGGGCTAATCATAAACCCGCCAAATGATTGGTGAACACGGTTGACTAAGAAATGACTTACATTTTTGAGGATAGGCATGCATACACATGGATGGGTTTATATACATTCTTGATCTAGCTAGACAATAAAAGCTTCTTTCTCATTCATGTAGAGAAACTTGAACAAACACGATAAGCTAATGCATTCAGTTGTCTAGATAATCAGGATTGCACAATTGTTAAGTTACTCTTCCTTGTGAACCTACAAATATGTATGTACGGACTTTCTCAATTCATTTTTAAAATTATAGTACGTGAAATTAGGATCAATCTGTTGAAGACTTATTTTCTCTTGTGAGGATGAAAAAGAATCAACCACATGATCACATCTTGTGCAACACGTACTAAACTCCTATTTTTTACCGCCTAGTTTGCTTAGTGTTAAAAGTCATACTACTTAATAATAAGTAGTAGATTAAAGTTACAGTTTCAAAGAACCATGTGTTGTTGATTTATTGTTGTATTCCGGCATATTGATTCACTCTTACATGCAAATGTATACCATCCTCATGTAACCCGTCACTTTTATTCCACACGCTACGTGGATGTTGCTTTGTTTTAAAAGGTTTATTATCTTCGTTTCTGTTAGTCTTTCAGATATGCATGAATAAGTTAATGGGAAATGTGTAAAAGAGATAGGATTTGAATTATTATTTACTACAGTAAACTTACAGACAATATATGATTCAACTCGATTTTTCCATCATGATCCTCATCTAAAACTTTCAAGATCTTTTCCCAACGTGTATCATCAGGAATGTTTTGAATACGTTTCAAAGAAATCAACAAATCATTTATGTCTACCATACGATCATGATCTGCTTTGATTTGATCCATTATCTTAGACCGTTCCTTTGATTCAGTTGATTCATTTATATGGCTTTCAAAAACCTATTAAATTAACAAACGATATGAGATAATATGATTATATCACCTAGAACGATAAGTAAAATTGATAAATGAAATAACATATTAACATTTGTGTAGTATGGTGTGAGCAGAATATTTGGTATAAAGACTAATGGTACTAATCAGTAACTCAGATCAACACAAATGGGATAAGTTGACATTGTGGTTTAAAGAATGAAAGCTTTTCAATGGTAGTGAAACCATCACAATACACAGCATAGTTACAGGTCAAGTAATTGGTAGGATATCTGGTGTTTCAACAACAAGACAAAACAGAATAACAACTACTACAATTCAGTATTCGCACTAAAAATCTTTTAAAATAACAAATTAGTAGAATATCTTAGACAATATCAAAGGTCTAAACAATTTAATCGACAGTGACTCCATGGGTGATTAATCGAATCAAGTTCATTTTTATGCAGTTACAAATTTTTACAAAAGTATGACCTTATTAGTTAGTTAGGTCATAAAAACTTAAACAGTCAGTAAATCGCTACCAATGATCCTATTAACAGAGTTAAATTCAACATCAAAAACAACTCCAGTAGACGGCAAAAATTCTTAGATTATAAGAGCACATAAACTAAGAATAACCTACATAAATCAATCAATGCGATAAGAAAATCATACAAAAAAACTGTACATATGAAGTAAGAAATGGTCAAGAAAGTATATACTCTTACTTCAATATCTTTTAACAGTTGGGTACGTTTATCGTTTAGTCTATCTACCATAGTATCCATTTCTTTAATTAAACGCTCTAAACGAGATTCTAGATGTAATGCAGCTTTTGATTTTCGTTTGTCTGTCACTTCTTCAGAAGCCACCAATTCAGCCTGACGTTTTTGTTGTAATTTTGCAACTTGCTCCTATTAAATAAAAACATATCAAGTATAAACCCAGTAAATACATCCGAAAACGATAAACAAATCACTAATATAATCTTATGATGTTACAGTATATGAATGTTGATAGATAAGAGATGTATATTTATCCCTTAAACAACTAGTAATCTAATTACTTGATAGTTCACACTTGTGTTTGTGTGTAGGCGAGACCATAATTTATGCACGAAACAATGAAATTTAAGGTAGGTCTTGAATTTTGGCGTAAAATGCAATCACTCATAAAGTCAAATAGGGATGACGATAAACTCCACTCTCGTTCGCAATTTTGACCTTGAACTTGGTGACCATTCAAAATAAGAAGGAATCATCATCTACACTGCCGTAATCCGTGATGGAGGGCCTGTTTCATTGTCTGTCATTTTTGCTGGCTTACATGAAAAATGTAAAGTATTATACGACAAAAATACCATCCATTGATGCTATGGACATGTCGAATGTAAGCCAGTCAGTCAAGATGGAAGGAAAATTACAACACAGTATAAGATATACCCTAATTAGTTCTATGATAGAAATTATTCCAAAATCTGCAATTGAGTGACTAAATAAACGAGAACACACCCGCAATTACTGACTACGATACAGTTAGATGACTCGAAAACGTGAAGTTTATCCCCATCCACTATCGATTCTAATCTTAATTCCTCACACCCATCTATAACCCACTTTTGAGCCTAGTAAAGACTTGGGTTTTCTCACTTTAGCATCGCCCAAAGGTACTACTAAA